AAACTCATGTTAACCCACTCGATTCTCTTGAATTCATGAATTTACCAACTTAAAAGCAAGACTAAACGCTTGAATTCTCACCTTAGCTTCTCAATTCCTTAAGATTTAGAGGTAATCTTGAGCAATCCTTCAAGTCTCAATGCAATGTCCTTCTCTACCTTAAGTTGATCTCAAGTTCTTGGCCTCTCACTCTCTCTCACATTTTTGCTACCAAGGATGTAGATATGAGAGTGTAAAGTGTGAATAAGGGTCCACTAATGCCTTATATAGGCTTGGCTAATGGCTTATTTGATTTGTTGATCAACTAATCAATTGGACATTAGTTTATTCTAATTTAATTCATTCCAAATCGAATTTCAATTGAACCTACCATAATGTTCTAAAAATTCCAACTAACACGTAATTCAAGTCAATTTCGCGATTAGATGCCAATAAGGCCTTCAATTCACAAAACGAAGCAAAAACGGAAACAGATATTTCTACGATGGATAGATATAAACACAATAATGCAACACACACATATGCAATTTAATTTAGAATTTCTCTTAATTTCTAATTAGGCTTATTTAACCATAAATTAACGTAAATCAGAGGTCAAGGTTGTTACACATGTATGTCTACACAGCTCTATGAGCATTATATTATGATATTTGCTTCCACAAGCCCCTTAACTTTGTTTAATCTGTTCAGAGGCCTTCAGTAATCCCAGGATTATTGGCCACTTGCGATACTAAACCTATAGAGGCAGGTTTGGGTCGTGACAAAGAAGCAGAAACGCAGTTGCAACAAACCTTTTCTACTGATACTATGTTGTTATAGCCAGACCAACAGCTACTGCAGCCACTTGATTCCAATGAAGCCATAGCAGGACAAGCTCTCAATCTCAACAAATGAGGAATCGACCCGGACGGATGATGGACTATGAGGTTAGTGGTGATGATCAATCTAACGATGATGATTCATTTGCCCATTTTGCATTATTTTTAGATTATGATCCCATCACATTCCAAGAAGCTATCAAAGATTTGAAATGGCAAAAAGCCATGAATGAGGAGATCAGATCCATAGAGAAAAACAACACTTGGGAGCAGCTAGAACTTCCAAAAGGGTAGAAATTCATTGGTGTCAAATGAGCTTACAAAACAAAGCTGAAGAAAGTTGGTGGAGTTGACAAGTACAAAACCCGACTTGTTACAAACAGGTCTACACAAAAATTTGGTGTTGATTACAAAGAGGTGTTTGCTCCAGTTGTGAGGCTTGACACGATTCAATTGGTGTTATCCATGGCTGCCCAGAATTCTTGGCCCATCTATCAATTGGATGTAAAGTTGGCATTTCTACATGGCAATTTGGAAAAAGAGGTGTACATTGACCAACATCCTGGATATGCGAATCAAGGTCATAAGAATCAGGTATGCAGTTAAAGAAAGGATTATAAGGACTGAAACAAGCACTGAGAGCTTGGTACAATCGTATAGATGCTTACTTTGCTAAGGAATGTTTTCTTAAAAGTCCTTATAAGCACACACTCTATACTAAACTTGGAGATGATAGAAAGATACTTATTGTGTACTTATATGTTGATGATCTTATTTATACCGGTAATTATTGAGCCATTTTTGATGTTTTTAAGAAATCTATTGGTGCCTTTATTTCATAGAAAAAATATGTTTTGGAGATTTTGGACAGGTTCAAAATGAAGGATTGTAATCCAATTTCCTCCGTAACTAAATTTGGTTTGAAACTCACAAAGAATGAGGCAGGGAAGAAGGTGCATGCTACTCTTTACAAGCAAATTGTTGGGAATCTTATGTATTTGACATCAACAAGGCTAGATATTATGTATGTTGTCAATTTAATCAGCCGATACATGGAGAACTGAATTGCATCTCTTAGCTACAAAGAGAATTTTTCGCTACTTGAAAGGTACTGTAGATTTTGAAATTCTATATAAAGGTGGTGGAGAGTCAAAATTGATTGGGTTTTCAGATAGTGATTATGCCGGAGATCTTGATGAAAGAAAGAGTACATCTGGATTTATGTTCATGATGGATTTGGAGCTGTCACATGGTCATCCAAGAAGCAACAAATAGTGACTTTGTCAACTATTGAAGCTGAGTTTATTGGTGCAGCATCAAGTTCATGTCAGACTATTTGGTTATGAAGGTTACTTGAAGTTCCACACAATCAGCAATGAGGTCCAACCTTAATTTATTGTGACAATACTTCAGCAATAAAGCTTTCAAAAAATCCAGTTCTACATAGGAGGAGCAAGCACATTGATGTGAGGTACCATTTCTTGCGTGATTTATGCAAGGATGGTGTTATTGATTTGGTGTTCTATAAAAGTGAGAATCATATTGCAAATATTCTGACTAAGCCCTTGAAGCCTGCTGTGTTTATGAAGCTTCGAAGCCTACTTGGAGTATGTTCAAGGAAGGATGCTGGTTCTGATGAACAAGAGATGGTCTGTTGAATTTTCTTCTCTCTGTAAACTAATGTCTTTAGGACATTCAATTTAAGGAAGGGTGTTAAAAGTTTATTGTTCAATAAGTTTTGATTGACCTATTATTTAGAAGTCTCTTGGCATGGGTTAGTGTATGCCATTTCTTTAGGATTACTCCAATAGTGAAGAAGTGTTGAGTCACAGAACTAGTTGGTTCCTATTTTCTTGGTCAGTTTGTTGGATATTTTCTATTTAAATTGCAATCAGTAATTTAAATTTAATTAAAGTATTCCTGTTCTAAAAATATTCTTTGTGCTTTGAGTTTCTTTTTGTTCGCAATATACTTACCTCATTATTCATCCAAACAAGTAATGAGAAATCCCATTCTCTCTATATCTTTCTTTTCTCACTAAACTCCTCAATCCAAACAGAGTGTAAATGGTTGTAAATTCCTCAACTGTGTAACTTCTGTGAGGAATGTGCAATAAGTTTAACAAGTACTCTACAAATAGAAAATTGTTTGGTTGTAAATTCCTCGACTGTAACGTTCTGTGAGGAATGTACAATAATAATTTGAATTTATTAACAGGGTAAATTACAAATACACTCCTTGAAATTTGTTTAAAATACAGATTGTCTTATATAGTTTGAAAAATTACAAATATCCTTTTGTTAAAAAATTTTATTTAACAGAATTAACTAAAAAAAAGAAATTCATAATTACTCTCTTATACAATAATAAGATTACCTATATTATTAATTGAAACATATTTCTAATATCATTAAAAACTGTTAATTGACTTGATTTATTAATAAGAAATGACGATTTGTTATGAAATTAGAAACCTCAAGAGGTAGAATGTAATTTCTAAAATCACGAGAAGCGATTTGTATTTTAATCAAATCTCAAGTGGTGTATTTATAATTTACCCTTATTAATAAGTGCTCTAAAGATTAAAAAAACAATTACTTATTCGCTAATCCTCACATGTGCACAGGTGCCCTCTACTGATAAAACTTTGCGAAAGAAAATGAATGGGGCTAATCTTCTCCCTTGACTACTGATTTTATTAATCCAAAAGTACTATATTTATTAGCGTGTTAAGTGGGTGCTCTGAAATTGCTATAGAACTATTCCCTAATGTTGTGTTTGGTTGGGGGATTTGAGGAGGGCTTTAGAAAGGAAAATGGAAAAGGTAGGTGAAATGTGAATAAAACATACCTACATTTCACCTAGTTTCACACACATTTTCCCTTTCCCTTTCCAAATCCCTCCATAAAACCTCCACCCAAACACAACGTAAAGATATTTATTTTCAAAACGCTTCATAATATATACATATATATATATATATATATAAAATGAAAAGCAACCTTATTTAAATATATCTAAAAAGTAAAAAAATTGTATAAAAATATTTTAAAAAATTAATAAATACATAAAAATATTTAAAAAAATGTACTAAATTCTCTTATTTTTTTATTTTTGATATTTAGTGAATTTAAAAAAAAACATTCTTAAATTTTTTAAGTTTTTAAATATATTTATGTTAAGGGTAAGATTAGATTGATACCAACCCACCTCATCATGAAAAGTCCCTAGCCAAAAGCAATGCCAAAAGTAATGGATAATAGATGAAAGAGAAGATTCGAAATATATATACTTGATAATTGTTTCCAATTAGTGTCACGCTCTCATTGTTTAGCTTATGAATCCATATTAGTTGTCATTTTGTCATTTCTAAAAGGTAGATTGAGGGAATATTGTCTCAATCATTATTATAAAAATCAGTACACATGGAATTGATTTTTTTTTTTTTTTTCTCTTTAGTCAATCCCATGTACATATTGGCCAAATATGAAATGGTAGGTATCCGGATAAATTACAAACACAACTCTTAAGATTTATTTAAGATATTAATTGTTTATTGTCATTTAAAAAATTATAAATATTCTCTTATTAGAATTTTTTATTTAATAGAATTAACAGAAAAAATAAAATTCATAACTGCTCTCTTATACAATGATAAAATTATCATAATTATTAATTGAAATAAATTTATAATATCATTAAAAACTGTTAATTGACTTGATAATTTATTAATAAAAGTGATCATTTGTTATAAAATTAGAAACATCAAGAAGCGAAATGTAATTTTTCAAATCACATGGAATAAATCGTATTTTAAATAAATTTCAAAGGTGTATCTGTAATTTACCTTATTATGAATTAGAGATGGTTAATTCCGATTAGCTTCAACAACTATATAACATTTTGTATTAGAAGCTAATTATGATGGTTAGCAAGTATATATACGCTGATAAAAAAGCAGTAAGTATATATACATGTGTTTGTTTTTGTTTTATGGCAGTGTTCCTTCCACCAAATAGAAAGAGTTAAATGCTTACATAGTTCAAAAAAATAAAATAAAAAAAATATGTTTGACAAATCCCTTTCTTATTCCCTTTAAATGAGTATTGAATTTAACGTAAAGTTCGCAATTAATGTAAAATACTCTAAAATTAGAAACTATTCAAGTCACACCACAAAGTATGAAGCAAAAAGTTGCATTAATTTGAAATTGAATACAAGAAGCACAAGTATGTTTTGCAACTTCTAGCTTTTAGATGAAATCAAGGTTTAACAATGAAAAGTCTACAATTACAAAAGGTAACCAAAAAAGACACACCTATTTGTAGCAGCACAATATCACTTTTACAAAAGCATTGACATTTTATACAAATAATTAGCATATGTCAAGTGGGTGTGAGAAGACGGACTTGTTCAACACTTGTTATTTCAAGTTTCTTTACCCTTGCATGCTTCCAGGAACCTATAATACACATCCCTATCCTTCCTTTTCAGGTCTTCTTTAAGGGAAAATATGAAGGAACCTTCACAAAGACAATGGTACAAAAGTAGGGACCATGAAAGAAAAGCAAAAGAAACCCAAAGCAAAGCCAATTTAAGAGAGAGAGAGAGAGAGAGAGAGAGAGAGAGAATCTTGACGTATCAAGAAGTTGTAATTTATTTCCCTCCTGCAATGTAGAAAAAAACCAAAATCAATAATAAGACCATTTCATAGTGATCATGTTGTGGGAATTTGTTAACAGTATACACTCGTTTTGGTTACATATCAAATGCACATACTTTAGGGTAATTTTGGGTATATTTAAATTATTTTGAAATTTAATTAAACATTAATTTCATGATAACTAGAGTTGGCCCCACTTTGATTTCACTATGTAGACCCAACCACAAATATCACTATGTGACATAATTAACACTAAACATTGCACATTTCTTCTTCTATAATGGAATTGGCCTATAGGGTACAAAACATGAAAATTGTGAGCATATTATACTTTTGGGTTATTTTGGGTATATCCAAAAAAAAATTGGCCATTAACCAATATTACTTGAAATTTTAATGAAACACTATTTTGAATGGTCTCCAAAACCAATCTGCTTAAATTTCACTATATGCAGACCGTACCACCACTTCAATAGCAAACAATCAGTTTGTAGTATAATCAACAACACTCTAGAAACACAATCGAATTGGCCTAAACTGTAAAAACAATAATTACAACAATGCTACGTAGCTCAAATTTTGTAGCTCAAAAGTGGCTCAAATGGCCAAAACGACGTCGTTTTGAGTACAGAACAACATAAAAATGGCCAAAACGACGTCGTTTTGGCCATTTGAGCCACAAAATTTGAGATACGAAACATTTTCCTAATAATTATTATTATTATATTAAAAAAAAAAAATCTATAGGGGACAAATCATGAAAATTATGAAGAAGCATAAGGAAGATTCATACCTCTATCTTCAGCTAGTTTGCTTAAGAATGACAAGAAAACAACGAGCACTGCCACACCAGCTATAAGCCCAATCAGAATTGCAAGTGTCTTCTCAACTTCATCATTCGACCCTGTAATTAAAATTACTCTAAATTAAACTAGTTTTCTCTTCATCTTCAAACATTGATAACAATAAATGTAACCATAATATTACAGTTCAAAAATATTTAAAATAAATAAACGTATATTTTTGGAAAACAAAGAAGAATAAAAAAAAATAGTGTTATTTTATCAAATTCTTGGTTAAAAATTAGCTTAAGTTTTTTTTTTTTTTTTTTTTTTTTTTTTTTTTTTAAAAAAAAAAAAAAAAAACAAAAAAAAAAAAAAAAAAAAAAAAAGGCATTCCATGACTAAAATGAAAGAGTGTTGTGGCAACATCAACCCATTGGCATTGGATTCTTTGGTTCCTACAGTGACATGCATTTATTCAATGTGGGGTCTTGTTTGTCTTAGCGATCACAAGTCAAAAATATTACTTAAGTTGTTGAAAGGGTGTTTTTCTTTCTTCTTTGTTCAAGAAACTTTTAACCAATTGAAAATGTTTTCAAATACCACATGGTCAATCAGAAGATCATACTTAAGAAATTTGTGTACCTATAACATGTATAAATAAAGGCTACTCTCTCAAAAGTTATGTATGCTATAGACGCAGAATTTTATATTTATAATAAAAAAATAAAAAGAGTGTACATTAAGGCCTATATATAATGAGATTTTTAGTTTAATATCCTGATATTTGGATTTTATAAGATAAAATATATGTTATATTTTCATAGTAATTGAAATCTATCAACATTTTCATAA